GGCGGCAGCGTGGGGCGGGGTCAGAGCGGGTCCGGGGCTGAGCCGGCTCCAGCTCTCCCTCCCTGTGACCTCGGGCCGGTGCTGCACCCCGTGCCTCAGTTTCCCGGTCTGCGGAGCGGGGTTCTTAACATTAAGAACCAGTCTTAATACTTGTGTGGCTGAACGGATGGATGCATAACTTACTGTGAAGATGTGGGAGATGGGCCACTGCATCTCACCCTCAGCAAAGACTCGGAAAATGTTGGCTATTATTATTATTATTATTATTATTATTATTACTGTTTACTCCAGTTTACAGAAAAGGAGCCGAGGCTGGGTTTTCATAACTTTGCTCACGGTTGCACGGCCAGCAAGTGGCAGAGCCCAGAGCTAGCCAAGCCCCAGACTATTCTGGAAAGTTCTGTGGTGAAGCCCTTCCAGGTTTTCCTCACTCAGTGGACCCAGTTTCTCTTCCCCTCCCCTGGGGATCCCCAGGCCCACCTCAGGGACTCTCCCCGTCACTGTGGGGGCAGCACAGGAAAAGGTGTGGCTGATGCCCTGCACAGTGGGGGTGAGGGGCTGGGCCCAGACCAAGGCTCCAGGACTGAGCCGATGGCTTTCAGGTCTGTTCTCGGAGCTGAGGATGGCTGTGCCCTGGGGCCACATCGCCGCCAAAGCCTGGGGCTCCCAGAAGGGCTCCCCCATCCTCTGCCTGCACGGCTGGCTGGACAATGCCAACTCCTTCGACAGACTCATCCCTCTCCTCCCAAGAGGTGGGCTGGGCGGGAGGAAGGCCAGGGCAAGGGGCAGGGCTGCGGGGGAGTGAGGGGAGAGGCCAGTGCGACACCTCTCCTCCCCCTTCCCTCCGCCCCAGACTTTTACTACGTGGCCATGGATTTTGGGGGCCACGGGCTCTCGTCCCACTACAGCCCCGGCCTTCCCTATTACTATCAGAACTTCGTGGGTGAGATCCGGAGAGTCTCGGCTGGTGAGTAAGAGGCAGAGTGTTGGGGAGCGGGGCACCCCTCTCACGGAGGGAGTGAGTGTGGTAGCCAGGAAGCAAGGCTGGCCTGGGGGTGACCTGCGTCAGGCCCCAGCTCTGCCCCAATCCCTGGGTGACAGGGAAGCTGGAGGAGGCCGGCAGGAGGGCCCACTCCTTCCTGCGGGGTCCGCCCCTGAGGGGGGCCCCAGATGCGGGGACAGAGGTGGGGAAGGCTGGACCCCAGCCCTGGCTCTGTGCTTTCAGCCCTGAAGTGGGATCGCTTCTCCATCGAACAGAAGGGCTGCGAGGGGGGGATGGTACTCAGGTCCCTTTCCCCTGCACTTCTGGGAACTTCAAGGGAAATGAAGGGGTTCATTCGACATTGACCTTTGGACACTGAGGCTTCTGGGCTCAGGTAACTCCCTTGAGGCACCTATGGCCCAGTAGGTAGTTGTCTCCCAATTTTTTTTAATATATTTTATTGATTTTTTTTTACAGAGAGGAAGGGAGAGGGATAGAGAGTAGAAACATCAATCAGCTGCCTCCTGGACGCCCCACACTGGGGATCAAGCCCACAAACCAGGCATGTGCCCTGACCGGGAATCGAACCGTGACCTCCGAGTTCATAGGTCAACACCCAACCACTGAGCCACACTGGCCGGGCAGTTGTCTCCCAATTTGATGAGGGAAATAAGGTCCCCTGAGTGGTCAGGTCTGATGAAGGGGCCATCTGGCCCCAGGGAGGGAGCCCCAAGTTTGGCAGGAGCCCCATCGCTGGTGGGAGAGGAGCTGGGAGGAAGTCTGGTAGGGTTTTGATGGCTGGGGAGCTCAGCCACTGCTGTTTTGTCTCGTAGGTGGCACTGTGGGTGGAATGGTGAGTAGAAGGCTTGGCAGTGATCACCTCTGGCCGCCGTGGTTGCTCCTCCAAGTGGGGGTGGGAGAGCAGGAGGAGGAAGTTACCTGGCACAGGAAGCACCTCTTGGGGCCACGAGTTTCGGGTCAGCGTTTCATTAGCTGTGCCAGCAGCTTGGTAGCTCCCAGCAGTAATCGCTGTGGCAGACAGAGCCCCGAACGCAGCCACCCCCGGGCTTCGGAGCTGGGTGCCTGGTGTGGACAGGGGAGAGGAAGGTGCCCTGAGGGATAGAGGGTCTTGTTCCGGCCTCTCGGTCAGCACCCTTGCCCCAGCCTGAGAGGTGTTTCAGGAAACACCAGGGAAAAGTTTGATCCCTTTCCCTTCAAGCGCCTCTCCTCGTCATTCTCCCCTTTTTGTGTCGCACCCTAGTTTTCCTGTATGTTCCCCGAGATGGTGGAGAAGCTTATCTTGCTGGACTCATCCCCTTTTGTGCTGGACTCTAATGTAAGAATGGGGCTGTCCCTGGGGAGACCCAGGTCCCAGGTGGGGCCCTGGGCACCGTCTCCTCTGGTGGGTAGCAGGGAGGTGGGGGGAGTGGCAGAGGATATACAAGAGGAGTCCGCCTCTCTCCCTCCCTCTGTCTCTCTCACATTGGTGTTTGTCTCTCCCTCTCCCTCTCCCCTTCCCCCACTCTCTTTTCTTCTCCCTCCCTCCTTTCCACTGTCTTTAAAAATCAATGGAAAAAGGATACTCAGGTGAGGATTAACAAAAACAAAAAAAAATGAGGTTGGGCCCTGGCCAGTGTGACTCGGTTGGTCCGTACACCGAGGGGCGGGGGCACTCATGGTCGGGGGCGCGGAGCGGAGCCCGGGGGCGCCCTGCAGCTCTGACGCTGTCGCTCTGCTCCGAGGACTCGGCTCCTTCATCAGCTTCAGCCTTCTTGTCTGCTAAGTGACCATAAACTCCGTAAGGGCAAGAACCATGGTGTCTTTTTTGTCGCCACCTGCCCAGTCCCGGCTTAGCCAGTGCGCAGTAAGCTCGGTGCATCACCCGTGGGTCATCGTGAGGGTCCGATGAGATGGTGGCTGCCACTCTGGCTCTTTCAGCTGCCTCACCCGCTGAGGTGACAAACACAGTGCCCGGGGCTGGTGACTGCTTGGTCCCCCCTGTGCTCTCAGCAGAGTGCTGCGTGCACCCACCCCCCGCCCCGCACTCCAGCCTCTTCCCAGGGTGAGTAGGATGGAAAGGGGTACACTCAGGGGCAAGCTGGAAACCCCTGAGCTGCACCCCCGCCAGTCTCCACGCCACCATCCGGAGTGACAGCATTAGTTAACCAGGTGAATTCTGGTTGAAGCATCACTCCAACCACCAGGCGGTCCCTGACGTTGCCGGACATGTTCCCCTCCATCGTCCAAGCTGCCCCTCCAGCTGCCATCCCAGCTGAGCCTCCGGCCGTCCCCACCACAGGCTGGGCTAGGCCAGCTGCGGCCAGGCAGGCAGCCTGCTCTGGGTCAAGGGCTAACTAGCAGGCCCGATCCCAGTTAGCCCGCACTGGGTCAGAAGGCATGGCCAGGGGCTGCTGAGGGCAGAGCCTGGGCTGGGGGAGGGGCGGGCCCTTGTCTGCATGGGGGGCGCTGCCCAGAGAACCACGAATCTTTAGGAACTGGAGAACCTGCTGACCTACAAGCGGAAGGTGATCGAGCACACGCTGCTGGTGGAGCAGGCCGCCCAGGAGCCCTCGCGCGCGCTCAGCCCGGAGGAGATGCTGCAGAGGTGGGTGCCAGGGGCGAGGCGGGCACCCATGGGGGAGACGGTGGGAGGACATGGGAGGAGCCAGTCACAGGGCCGGAGGAAGGAGCTTCGGTGGCAAGTCCACACCAAGCCTGCTTCTCTCTGTGCCCACCTGGGCCTCAGGCTCCCTGGCACCATTGCAGCTGCATCTGCCTCACTCTCCCCTGTGCAGCGACGCCCCTGCTCCCCTGGCACACTCTCTCCGTCAGCACCTTTGCTCCCTCTGGCCCCTCCCCAGGCCTGTCCCGGGCCCTGGCTCACTGCCCTCCTCTGGGCCTCAGCCAGGTGGCACTTCCTCTGAAGCCTGTCCCGACCCCCTGCGCTGTGGGTAACCGCAGGTCGGGGTGAGCACGCTGGCTGTCACTCCGGCACCTGTCCGTGCCTGGTGGGCAGGGCTCCGTGGAAACACCCCGCCCCCACGGAGGTGACAGCCCCTCCACCCCCCTGTGCCCTGGCGGAGTGGCCTCCCTTTCCCTGCCCTCTCCTGCCCATCGGCCCCTCCTGACCCATGTCACCCAGCGCCCTCCGTCTCCCCAGGTTCCTGAAGAATAACAGCCACGTCGGTGAGGAGTGCGGGGAGCTGCTGCTGCAGCGGGGAGCCACCCCGGTGCCCGCAGGTAAGGCGCTCACCGCCCGGCCCGCTGGTCAGCACGCTTCTTGGTGAGGAGCCATAATAACCAAGCTTGCCTTGGGCCAGGCGTGATCCTATGTGCTTTGCAAGTAGCGTCCCATTTAATCCTCCCTGCCCTCTGCTCAGCCCGTTCGGAGCAGGAGAAACTGAGGCTCGGCAAGGCCAAGTGACTTGTGCCGTCAGACGGTGCTGCCCACCCCGGAGGCCGCTCGCTGTGCGGGTCCTTGCGGTGGGGGCCCGTGTCCGAGGCTGGGCTTTGAGGGTGTCCTGAGGGGCCGAGTGGCTGTGAACGGGAGAAGTGGAGCTGGTGGAGCGCCGGCCCGCGTTGTCTGCTTCGCTTCCCGTTACATTCATTCAGGAAACTGTTGGGGACCACAGGAGACTCAGCTGGAAAGTTGTGAGGAGGACATTCTGAGAAAAGAGAAGTGTGCGGAAGGCCGCCTGCCCTGTTTATGGGTATTCTGACTTAGGGGCGTATCGAAGGCGGCGCCCCTAATTATCCCTTGACCTTTCCAAACAAGTCTGTGCATGTACAGATCCCCGGGTGTTTACTGGAATCCTTACGCTTAATCCCCGGATGCCCTTGCCTAGAGGACAGTGTAAACACCTGTGCCCTCCCAAGATTACTCACCCACTGATTGTGTCTAAAAGATAAACTTTATCTCAAGCTGCTGCTACAATAAAAGGCTAGTGAGGCAGGCAATCGAGGCTGCCTGGCTGCTATCAGCCAGGTGGTCCCTTAGCCCTCTCTCGACAGCGAAGCTGTCACCTGTTCGTCCGTCGTTCAGGGGTTGCTGATCAGCCCGGCAGGACACCTTTATTGCTGTGTTTTCAGTCCTGTGGTCTTCACTGAGAGCAACTGGAAATCACTTAAGGTGGGAAGGACAGGATCATACTTGCATTTTTAAATAGATCAGCATGGCTACAGAGTGAAGAATGGTGGCCAGAGACAAGTGTGGATGAGAAAAGAACAGATGGAGATTTTCTGCTGGGGAAGGGGTTAAGAGGTTTTATTCCCTCCCTAACTTCAGGGGAAAATCCCTACCTGGGGAAACAACCTTTCTCGGAGAGGTGACCTTGGTTAAAACACACAGCGCTAAAAGGGGAGCCAACATATTAAGAACAGTATGCCATATACGCCAGGTCCCTAGAAACATATGCTGTGCAGATATTTCTTCCCTGCAGCGACTGTGTCAAGCAGCAAGGATGGACCCGCTCCCCGCACTTTATGGAGAGAGCTCTGTGCCCGCCCCCAGCCCGGCTGACTGACTCCAGTTTATAAAGTACCCAGGAGGCGGGGTCAGAACCCAAAGCCTGTGGGCGCTGGGCAAGCTGCTGGGAGTGAGCGGTAGGGAGTGGTGGGGGCTGTGGAACTGGCCCCGCCTGTCCTTATGGCAGGAACTCGGGCCTAATCTGGTCAGAATTTCCAGTTGCTCAAGAGAAGCCAGCGGCCTGCTCTCTTGCATCGCTTTCCAGGAATTGCAGAAGCCAGAGGTCAAAGGTATGGACAGGACCCGGCACTGTTTTACCTCGGCCGCCAGTCTGACCTGTTGTGGGGGTTGTCAGTTACCATTTGAGCCTCCGCCTGCCCCTCCCTGCAGATCCTCATGGACAGAGGGCAGAGGGCCTGGGCCAGGCTCCCCACGTGCCCACACAGATGCGCACCCAGGCGGCCCCTGGAGCAGAAGCGGGCTAATCGGGAGGCACGGAAGCCGATCAGGCCAGGCCAGGGCCACGTGCAGAGATGAGCACAGACGCTGAACCCGATGACTAGCGGGTGGGAGAGGAGGAGGCGGGGTGGCAGTTGGCTGGATCAGTGTGTGGGGACCAGCCCCTCTGCAGTGGTCGTGGCCCTTTGGGCCCTGGGTTAGCCTAAAAGAAGACCAGGCGGGTTCCCAGACGCCATGGGAACAGGGCGGTGACATTGGGGGAGCTGCCCCCCTGCACCCCCTCCCCTCAGAGACCCTGACAGCCCCTATCCATCCTGGAGCAGGGCAGGGGACTGGGACACCTCCATCACTGGACCTGACCCCTCTGAACTCTGTTCGCTTCCTAGGGCTGCCGTTACAAATCCCATAGTCCGGGCTTACCTCTCCGTTCTGGAGGCCAGAAACCCAAGGTCAGGTGCAGGCAGGGCTGTGACAGACGCTGCGATGCCTCTGTCCAAGCTTCCTGGTGGCCCTTGGGTGTGTGCATGCTCCCTTGGGGGAGGCCGGAGCTAGCAGGATGCAGAACAGGGCGGCGGGAGGCGCAGGAGGTGGGCGGAGCTTGCAGTGTGACGTTCAGGTAGAAGGAGCTGGGTTGGCCTCCTGGACGAGGTGACTTTTGAGCAGAGCAAAGTGGTGCAGGTGAGGGCGTGGTCACAGGGAATCCAGGAGGGAGGTGGCCTGGGAGAAGGAAGGTGCCGGCCAAGGCCTTGGGAGAACCAGGGGGCTGTGAGCAGAGTGGAGGGGGCGGGCCCTTGGCTGCCTTCTTCTTTGTGAGCTGCCTCTGATGGGCCTAGGCGTCTGGGAACAGCTGGAGGGACTGGCCTGAGGGGAGAACCCAGCTCTGGTTCCCTAATGACTGCAGTGCCCAGCCCCTGCCACCTGCCACCGCGGGCCCGAGCCCTCCCCACAGGCTGCGTGGCCCTGGGGTTGCGGGCAGGATTGGTTTCACTTGTGTAGTTTAAACCCCAACATTTGGCCTGGAGGGGATTTTGAACAGGTTGTTCATATATAAAACAGAAAGGTTTTGTGCAAAAATAGAATTCCCAGTTTCTGTTGAAAAATGGGAAGGCCTGGCAGCATTCTGTTTCCCACCAGCAGCAGCTGCTGGCACGGCCCACGGCCAGGACTGGCACTGCTGGCTGGAGTCTGTGACCTTGGCCCCGCATGGAAGAGGGAGGGAGCATGGAAAGGCTTCCTGAGGTTTATTCTCTGACCTTTGAACTTGGGCCTCCTTAGTCAGAAAACCTCCGCTGGGGCCTGCTGGCTGGGGTGGCCACGCTCCTCGGCCCCCTGGTCCTCCCTGCTCCCAGCAGCCACGCTGCCTCCTGTCCCCACCCAGGGCTGCAGCAGGACCCGCAGGGCCCAGGGCCCCTTCGCTTGCAGATGCCCACACTAGGCTGCCACCTGTACTCTGCCCAGCTGGCTGTACTGGCGTTCCCACACCCTCGGGTTCAATCATGTCCTCGAATGGCTCAGAGCTCAGGAAAACGTCTGCTCACCCCTGGGTCACTGTACAGGACACCGCACAGGCCCAGCCAGATGGCAGCTGCGCGGGGCAGGCGCAGGGCAGAGGTGGGGCTCGCAGGCTGCCTCCTCCCTGCACCACTGCTCCCCGGCCTGCCTCTCAGGTCAGGTCCTGTGCTCCAAGGACTGTATGGAGGCTATCACACAGCCCTCCCCACTCCCCGGAGCACGGCTTCATCTTCCAGGGGACCCCTCCCATCCTGTCAGGAAATTCCAAGGGGTCCGGGCTGTGTTAGGACCTGGGCTCAGAGACCAAATACCAGGACAAAAGATGCTCCTAGCACTTTGTCACTGAGTTAAGTTTTGTGGCTTTTCCAAACCAAAGGAAGTTCCCCAACGCGGTGGGTATTAATGGACAGATGCATTGATGAGTTGATTTGATTTTTTTGTTTTTAGATTAATTTTGGAGAGAGGGGAAGGGAGACAAACATTGATTTGTTGTTCCACTTATGCATTCATTGGTTGATCCTTGTTTGTGCCCTGACCGGGGATCGAACCCGCAGCCTTGGCGAAACCGGACAACCTCTACCCAGCTGAGCTACCTGGCCCTCCCGGCAGCCACTTCTTGAGGGGACATTGCCAGGTGTGGGTTTAGCATGTCCGCCCTCTTCTCTGGTGGAGCCAGGAGCACTCACCAGCCTTTCGACCCTCCAACCTTTCTTTTTGCTCGATTTCTCTGACGAGTGGCGATGTGATGCCTCAGTGTTGGGTACCTTATGGTGTTTGAAGACCCGCAGGGTCATTTAAGGTTCTCAGAGACTCTGAGGCCAGAGGGGCCGTTGTTCCTACGTCCATCCTTCTGCGCTGCCCTCTGGGGTGGCCGGGTGGCCCCATGGCTTGTGGCCAAGGGGGGGCGGGCGG